TTCGGAGATAATTTTGTGGAATAAATAACAAACGATTGAATGGAAAGAATCGACAAAACCATAGAAAGGGTTACGCCTTTGAGTTGTGATGCTTTTGACCCGAAATGCAATGCAGTCTCTCCTCTCTTACCACTGAATCCCTTACCACTGAATCCTTTTTTAATGATTCGTTCACTTCATTCATGTCTTGCAATCTGTAAACACAAGCCAAGCCAATATCAAACAAATCCCGTTCCCAAAGGCTTGTATGTCTGTGTGTGTGCTCTGCCTTTCCTATGCACTCATCTATACTTTTCTGACACCTGTTCTGTTCCTCTGTTGTGAATATTTGATAAATATTTATATAATATAATAAAGAAATGAAAAGTATTTGAATATTATTATATTTTTCTTATTATATTCTGTCGATCGAGTGTCAGAATAATAGTGATATTTTAGGGCTCGTTATGAACCAGTGATTTAATGACACCATTGCTTACATTTAAATACATACTAACTCACAGTCACTCCATATCTAATGGTAATCTACAGAACAATGAGTTGATGTCCTGTGAAGAAGTTTGAGGCACTTTATAGGAGTTAACCTTAAGGTTAATATTTGAGAAGATTTTGCACTCTATATCCAGGAGTCAAAGCTGTTTCGCTTTAGGGCTGTACTGACAGCAAGTTTTTCACTTTTATTATTCAATACATCAACGGATTTAGAAATTTAAGCTTCAATTTGATGAGCAGTTTCACTGATTAACATTTGTCTCACATTTGATTTTCACTCATTTAGTATTACTTCAATTAGTGATTGAATTGAAAAACTTTTTTACTTTTTAAGAAATTTATGAATTGCACAAAGCGTTTAAAACTTTGATATAATTTGCTATAAAAAACTTTTTATCATATAAATGTTTATTTAATCGATTGAATAATTTTGTAATTTTTTATGGAAACTAAATGTTTATTTGATTTATTTATATGAAGAACTGTTTATCAATTTGATGCCAATGTGTGAAACCCATTCCCATCTCAAGGCCTGTTAACCGATTCATTCAATGCTAAACTCATCACAAAAACATAATTCAAATAAATTTATGCTAAAAATCTTTTTAAATCGATTTAATTGTTTTGCGGTTAATTATGGAGGAAGTCGTCTAACGTTTCATTAGATTCTTCTGAGATTTGTCCAAAAATGGACTCAAATATTAAGGAAAACATTTAAAAATACTGTTTGAAATACATTTAGAAAACGGAAGAGTTTTTTATCAGTTCTTAGATTTTTAGTTTAAAAATTCTACAAAATTTTCTAAATTGCGGTTAACTTTTATCAATATATTTAACACTTTTAACTCAAGAAATATATACATTATTGCGATCGAGAGATACCACTCTTTTTCTGGGAAAATGTAAACGAGATCTGACTTTTTGCTCCTGGATTTTGATAACTCAAATGAACTTCAATTCAAATCCAGTCTAGACTTGACTTTCGCTCTTGAAGTCAATGATCCGATTCCTAATTCATATAAATACAAACAAAACTTAACTATTGACTGATATCTACTATAATTACACAAATTATTGACCATTAATTTAACATACTTTTTATTTCTCATTACAGATTTGGCATTAATTTACGATATTTGTCCGATTAAGCGATTTGTGGATTTTATTAAATATTAAATAATAATAAATTCTTGTAAATTACATTTTTATTATTTTATTGATTACATAATATGTTAATGTATTCTGTTATTATATACAGTATTAATAAATAAATGATTTATATAAAGAATCTTAAATATTAAAAGAATTTGCTGAATAAGTTGTAGAAGTATTTGATTTAACAATTTATTATATTAGATAACAAACGGAAGTTTGAGATTAGTTGTGATAATTTGTTTCTAACCATATGAACGAGTTTTCTATGAATGACTCACAAGTCTATCAAACATTGCTTTTATGAATCATTTGAAGACACAATTAGATGAAAATATTTCATTTTATTCATTCATATTCCAGGACTTGTTTGGAGTCCAAAGTATTGCAGAAATTCTTTTCATTTAATTCTTATGTATTTTGTTTCAATTGAGTCCAATTTGAAAAGTATTCACTATTTGGCGAATTTATGAACCTTGATAAACTTTAAAATGAAAATTTTCAATAATTTTGTTGGCAACTTATCATTATTTTTTAAAATTCTTTAGAGAATCAAGTATAATGCTGTTATCTTTATTAGATAACTTATATAAAACATTAAAATACATATAATTCATGGCTTTTATAAAGAAAATGTTGGCAAAATAGACATTTCTTAGCACTGACCTAAACACCCATCCCTTCCAGGCTTTTATGACGGCTTATAATAAAAATTCCTCAAAGTTTGACAAATTACTGCATGTGTCTTAAAATTAACATAAATTTACAATATTATAAAGTACAATAAAATTTTAATTTATAAGATTTATCAAATATTTTAATGTCTTAATGTTTTTAAATCATTGTAGAAATCACTGAAATTTTTTCATCTTATTAAACCATTAGATATTAATTACATAATTTTCAATATATTAATTTCTGTTAATAGATTATTTTGAATTAAATATGTGTAATATATGGAATATTTAATTTTATTCAGACTTATACAGTATTTACAAAATCTTAAAACATCCAAATATATAAAGATAAAACACATATTACAATCGTAATTGTCTATCTGTACTGGACATTTACTATTTTAATAAAATATTAATATTTACAAGTAAGAAGTTATACAGTACTATACTGTTGTCATTAGTTATTACCAGTATCTTGAAACTTTTTAAAAGTGTTAAAGAAATGTAGAATTTCGATATAATCTAATAATATATTTAAAATATAATATATAATATATCATAATTTCTTAGAAATATCAAAAGATTATGTCATAATTTGCATAACTACCAGTTGTTTAAAAGTACTCTAATACTTAAATAATTTAACTTAAATTATATGGTTATATAAATGAGTTCTGAAATTATGGAAAATACATGTTATTTATAGCATTCAATTCAATAATATACTTAAACTTGAATTATTTAGATATTTATTTTTATTTTGCTAACACCAGTATTTTATGAATTATTTATAAATTCAAATTCAACTGTATTAAATATTATTACACTTATTGTTATACAATAAATTTAAATCAATAAAAATAATTCAAAGTCTTGTGAACTCACTTTCCTTTTCATAACTCCATTAAACAATAGGACATTCTTGGAGTGAAAGCATATGAAGTTATATTTGTATTATAATCCAAATTCAAAAGCTTTCCTAAACTCTTTGAATTGAATTAAGCAAATGTTTTTATTTTGTTAAGTGTTTTGCTTTCATTTCCTTTTTTACAACACTATATCTTATCATAAATTAAATCAAAATACTTATAAATGGATAATGAAAGTGAAGCCTTTAATCACAGGACGATAATTATTGAGTAAATGAAGACTACATTATTTTCATAATTAATGTCTGAATCGAGATTATAATTTTCACCGGTTATTGAGCATTGAGATCAAGTGGAAGATTGAGAGACTATTAATGCTATTATTTTTTTATTATTTGAAATTCAATACCAGTTTTACTAAAAAACTAATTTCTCTTATCTTTAGGATATATTCAAAGGAGGGATAGAGTTAATGATGAGATTTACTCAAACACTATAAACACTATAATTTATTGAATATTATAGTGACTCCTCTGTACTACTATTGACCTCAAAGCAGATATATATTCTGATTATTATATAATATACCGAACAGTATCTGACATATCATTATTAATATTGTATGATTTATTGTGTCAAACAGACCTTCAATTCTGGTATTAAAATGCATTTGTATATCAATTCAAATGTGTAAATATTTGTGTTTTCAATATTTCAATAATTATATAATAAGTGGTTTCAATGTAAATAAAATAATTCAAATTAGTTTGATCAATGATCATAATAAAGTCAAAGTCAAACTTATATACAGATTCACAGAATTATTTACTTTTCATTTGAAAATTAATTGAAAACTATTTCATTATTCTTTGCATTTCGATGACACGAATCTATCAAATATCACATTTCGTGCGATTGTTATCAGTTTCGTATGACTCGTTTGATCCCATTTGGTATTTACGTTATTATTATGAATTATTTTGTAAGTTATTTGAATGAAATTCATTTTCATGTGAAAGAAACTCATAATCAATTTAAATGAATTGATGCGCAAACTAATTATGTAAATACTATTACAATACATGATAAGGTATACCTATAAGGTAGCATCTAAACAACTACTAACTCATTACATTTGTTTTATATTTGATTGATTGCAACAAAAACTCAATTATTCAACAAATTGTAAAATCAATTACATACCTGTAATTATTATACTTTCACGTATAGCTATTGTAACACTAATGTTTAACTTTGGATAAAACGTGAACACATTTAGGTTTTATAAATGAAAATTTGAAAAATCACAAAAAATAGTTTGAGTGATAAAAATGGTTTTGACTTTCAAGCAATTAAAGTATTTATTTAAAATATAATTGATTTATATATACAGTAGTTTGTTTTCTAAAAAATATAGTGATTTAAATGGAATAATACATTAAAAATATAAATTTATATATACGTAAATGTGTAAAATTAGAAAATATAGTCAAAAATTACTCATTGCTATAATGCTTATAAATTTTTTTGCTTAAATTTGGGCCAAAGTTTCTCTCCATTAAACCACTCTTTAGTGAAGACAATAGATTTTGTTTGTCTTTAAGAGTGTTGGCGATAGCGAAGGCATCCAAAAGGCTCTGAAGGGTGGGGTAGTGATCGACAATGACTTTCGCTTTGCCAACAGAAACGCCTTTTATTTGCAGCAAATGTTTTAAAAACATTTCATTGACCGTAAAGTTAGTGATTTTGTTAGCATTTCGATCGAATTCAGTATAACTCATGAAGTGGTCGTTCGGCACCTCTTTGTTGATCATCTCTTCTCTNCAAAGCAATACTTAATGGTCTCGAGGAAAGTCTTCCTGTCATTGATCTCATCGGGAATTCGGCTCAAAATCTTCTTCAGGGAATACGTCTTGCGATTCAAGTCCTGAAACAGCTCTTCAGGGCGTTTGCACTTATGGTCTGTTTTGAGGAGACATTTAAATTGAGACTTATGTTTGTTGTGATGGATAAGTGGTGTTACCATCGAATTCAGGGATATGTCCCTGAAGTTTGAGCAAAGACTCGGTGATATTGACGTTGAGATCTCGTCTCTTGAGAATACTGGTCACCACATCCAACATAATCCCCGGTTCTGTCGCCTCAGCCTATCCGTACAAATACAGTCATCACATCTCATATCATCCATTCATCCATTCATCCATTCATGGGATCAATACCTTATTGATGGCATTCAATAGGGTTTGTGCGGCCATCGGGTCGTGTTTCTCGATCTGCATCCATACCATTGAGACAATGAGTGATATAAGAGTGCAAAGAGTGGTATACCTTATGAATGATGGGTCTGATGAGGACGGGCACAATCAGGTTCGCACAGATGGGAGGCTTGTCTTCACTCATTGTCATTATTATTACTTCACTCTATCGATGGTAGTGTTTGTGGTATTGTCTGACAATCACTGAAATCATATGAATATAAAAGCAATTGATTTACAAATGAGTGTTAAGTAGTAGACGACTGAATATAATGTTATGAATGACTGCAATGTATTGTCACTACATATGGACGTCTATAGCATTACACTATTGTATGCGTTGAGTGAGCACTGGGTTTACATTGCTATTCACTCCACTCTCTCATCTCATATCCATTTCAATCACCAAATCTTCACTTCAATACCTTTCCTATGAGTTACAAACTTATTATAATTTTTAATAACTATTTCTTATCATATCTCAAGTAATATAGTTAAGTTAGTCAATAATTATAAGTCATAAATACTTTTCAAATCTTTATACAAACTTTTCACTTATAAGTTCCAACATACTTTAACTTTGTTAAACTTTTTAAAGTTTAACTCTAAAATAATTTATTTGTAAAATACAGCATTACAATTAACTGATTTATAATGTTAATTGTACTATATGTATTTTAATATTAACCCATTATTATTGATATAGTTAGCAAGTTATTATGAAGTTTTAGATTCTTTGCCATACTTTTACACCGATATATCACATACAGTGCATTGACCCCCTATACGTAAACCCTTTTTGACACCAGTTTCTGACAGATCAACTCTTTTGGATAACTTACTTGAAATTAACTCGCATTTGATTCATGGCACCGGTATTACATTATAAAATATTGTAAATTGTCACACCATTTTCGGGACAGTATATTGCAAATTAAAATAATTACGAGTACTTTAGTTTATATTACTGTATATAAGTTAAGTGCTGCATAACTGGTTTCAATGTCTCACATAAGACTAATAGTTACCATTAACGTAATACCGTACTCTACGAGTTGTCTCAATACATACAGTGTATGGTATTAACAGTAATACTAAATTACTAACTTTTATTAGAGATTTCTCGACGCAAACCTTCATTTGATTAAGAATTTAAACTTAAAAAATAATTGCAAACAAAACATTAACCGTAATAATGTGTATCTATTGTATGAGTAAACGGAGTCCAAAATATCATTCATTTCCACAANATACAGTGTATGGTATTAACAGTAATACTAAATTACTAACTTTTATTAGAGATTTCTCGACGCAAACCTTCATTTGATTAAGAATTTAAACTTAAAAAATAATTGCAAACAAAACATTAACCGTAATAATGTGTATCTATTGTATGAGTAAACGGAGTCCAAAATATCATTCATTTCCACAATTAATGAAAATTTATTGAATCAAAAACATTACATATAATCGTATCAATGATCTCAAGCCGTTTGGAGTGAGGCGGCGGCGGCGACGGCCTCTGCCAGTAGTCTGGCTTTAGTGGCAGACCTCAGTTGTGCAGCAATTCTGTCCAAATCGCGGACCCCTTGACTCGTCAGTCTTCGGCCTCCAGTGTTGGCGTCCTTTTCAACCCATTTTACGCCTTCGAGTGATTGGAGAGCCTTTCGGGCGATGTTAGCGCTGCTCCGGCAGTAATGGGACGGACGGACACCCTTTCGGTATCTTCCGCCGTATATTTTGGTCAAAGATCCCACTCCTGAGAAACGCATGTCATTAGATCAATGGTCTTGGATTTAACAGATCCACAGCCGAAGAGTAGTCAATACTAACCGACGGGTGCTCTCAGATACAGATGTCTGGCGATAGACGCGGATCGGATGTAATACCAGTCCTCATCGAAAGGCGCCAACTCTTTGAAGACACCGGTCTTCACGAG